CTATCCAACGGAGTGCCTTTGTCACAGGCCTTATACTGAAGATGGAAGAAAGAAGACACACAAAGCTGGTGATGAAGAAAAAATCTCAAGCAATGAAAGGCGAGAATCTGAACCCAAGCGCAAAAATGGGCCCAATATTAAGAAGGAAGCTTATGCGTGCAACAACTACAAGATTCATCAGCAAGATATGGGGTGATTATTATGCCACACACTTTCCAGAGGATACAAAGGAAGGAGACGGAAATGAGCAAAAGGAAATCGATGAAGAGCTAGAAGAAAATGAAGATGATGATGATATTGAAGAGGATGTAAATATTGAAATGGAGCAGGCTGCAAAGACCCCACCATCAACACGATCTAGTATGTCATTGAAGTCTTGCAAGGAAGCTAAGTGGAAAGGGCAGATAGCTGGAAAAACAGTGTCTGGTGAATTTCTATACAAATGTGTTACATTTCAAGATCTTAGTATTGGTGTTGGTCAATCAGTCTCATTGGAAGATGATTCAGGAGAAGCCATCATGTGTTTTGTTGAGTACATGTATGAGAAACATGATGGTACAAAAAAAATCCATGGAAGAATTCTGCAAAAAGGTGTTCAGACTGTTCTTGGCAATGCTGCAAATGAAAGGGAGGTTTTCTTGACTAATGATTGTCAAGAATTCGAATTAGGTGACATCAAAGAATTGGTGACTGTCAATGTACAGTTGATTCCATGGGGTCACAAATACAGAAAAGAGAATTCAGAAGTTAATAGGATTGAGAGGGAGAAGGCAGAGGTGAGGAAGAGGAAGGGTCTACCTGTGGAATATTTTTGCAAAAGCTTATACTTGCCAAAGAAAGGTGGCTTCTTCTCCATCCCTCATGATAAACTTGGCATTGGAACTGGTGCCTGTAGCTCCTGTGAGGAGAGAAACCAAGCTGGTGATGCATTCAAGATACTTTCAGGGACCAGTTTTGTCTTCAAGAATATTAGATACAATGTTCATGACTTCCTGTATATTAGGCCTGATTTTTTCTCCCAAGGGGAGGGCTATGAGACCTACAAGGCTGGAAGAAACGTGGGCCTGAAGCCTTATGTTGTTTGCCATGTATTGAGTGTCGATGCTCCTGATGGATCTAACAAAGCGCATCCAGAATCAACAAAGATGAATGTAAGAAGGTTTTACAGGCCGGATGACATATCGTCAACAAAAGCCTATATGTCCGACATAAGAGAGGTTCGCCTGTTCTGTCTAATCAATGCATCATTCTTCGTTAAGTGCTGTAGATGAGCTTGTGACTTACCACTCACACTTCCCTTTTTTCTGTTGTCACTTTGGATTTAATGCTTGCATTCTGTCATTTGATCCAGGTATACTGCAGTGAAGATATCATGAGTGTGCCAGTGACAATGATAGAGGGAAAATGTGAAGTTAGGATGAAGGACGACCTTCCAAATTCAAATCTTCCAGTGGTGGTTGAGCATGTATTTTACTGTGAACTTTTGTTTGATCCTGTTACTGGAGCCCTGAAACAGGTCAGACATTCTGAATTTCACCTTTCATTTCTCAGTTGCTTAGATTGTTTTCCTGAGAAATTTCTTTAGATGATTAACTGAGCTTATCTTTGCATGATCTTGAACCAGCTTCCACCCAATGCTAAACTTACGTCATTGATAAGGAAGGCACCTTCTGCTTCCAAGAAGAATAAAGGAAAGCAAATTTGTGATGATGAGCTAGATGGTTCAGATAAAAAGGATATGCCGTCAGACAACTCTCTTGCAACCCTTGATATTTTTGCTGGCTGTGGTGGTTTATCTGAAGGATTGCAGATAGCTGGTATGCACTTGTCCTGCAGATTCTATATGGGTTGATGGGAACACCTTGATTGCCACAGTGTTTTACTTTCTGATCATACAATTCTGCAGGTGCGTCAAAAACAAAATGGGCAATTGAATATGAAGAGCCTGCTGGGGAAGCATTTGGTGAAAATCACCCAGAAGCAGCAGTATTTGTGGAGAACTGCAATGTTATTTTGAAGTATGACAATTGTTTATCATGGATATGCTTATTCATGCATTTCACCTTCCACTCATTTCTGAGTATTGTCTTGCAGGGCAGTAATGGATAAGTGTGGTGATGCTGATGATTGTATCTCTACTTCTGAGGCTGCTGAACGATCATCAAAACTTTCTGATGAGAAGATTAAGAATCTGCCTGTGCCTGGCGAAGTAGACTTCATAAATGGTGGACCTCCATGTCAGGTCTGTTGTTTTTATCTGACTATAGGAAACATTTTATGCTTGTTTTCGATATTCTAAACCAATTGCATAACTTTCCATATGCATCCTTTTTGCAGGGGTTTTCTGGGATGAACAGATTCAATCGAAGTCCCTGGAGCAAGGTTCAGTGTGAGATGGTCCTAGCATTCCTCTCTTTCGCAGATTATTTCCGCCCAAGATTCTTTCTCTTAGAAAACGTCAGGAACTTCGTTTCATTCAACAAAGGCCAGACCTTCAGATTAACACTGGCATCACTCCTGGAGATGGGATACCAGGTGCTTACTGTTCTTACTTGTCTACTAAGTTGTTCTTGCATTGTAGCTTTTCGTCCAACACTAAATTTTGTTACCTTTTTCCTTTACATGTTCTCAGGTTCGATTCGGCATTCTAGAAGCAGGTGCTTATGGTGTCGCACAGTCCAGGAAAAGGGCATTCATCTGGGCTGCTGCACCTGGAGAGACCCTTCCGGAGTGGCCTGAACCAATGCACGTCTTCGCTAGCCCTGAGCTGAAAATAAACCTCCCTGATGGCAAACACTCCGCGGCTGTCAAGAGCACTGCTGCAGGGGCACCTTTCCGGTCAATAACAGTTAGAGATACAGTTGGGGATCTCCCACCCGTGGAAAATGGCGCCAGCAAGCCAACAATACAGGTATGTATCAGTGTCACTGCAACTTAATTTCCAGACGCTTTCTTCTGTTGGTGCCCTTGGCTGGTAGTATCGGCTGGATTTACTCCTTCCTATGGTACAGTATGGGAGTCAACCAGTGTCATGGTTCCAGAAGAAGATCAGAGGCAGCACCGTGTTGTTGAGTGACCACATATCCAAGGAGATGAACGAGCTGAATCTCATCAGGTGCAAGCACATTCCAAAGCGACCTGGCTGCGATTGGCATGAGCTACCGGATGAGAAGGTAACCACAGCCTCCTCCTTTGTCCACCAGTAGTTGTTTTGTACTACTTTTGCTCTAGGTAACCATGCCCCATTTGCCAATGGTTATGCGAGTACAGGTGAAGCTGTCAACCGGGCAAATGGTGGACCTTATACCCTGGTGCCTGCCCAACACTGCCAAAAGGCACAATCAATGGAAGGGGCTCTATGGGAGGTTGGACTGGGAGGGCAACTTCCCCACATCCGTGACCGATCCCCAGCCAATGGGCAAGGTCGGCATGTGCTTCCACCCTGAACAGGACAGGATCGTCACTGTTCGTGAGTGTGCCAGGTCTCAGGTAATTTGCCCTCGCATCGCATGCAACATATAGATCATTGGTTCCTCAATAGCTACTGCAATTCAGTAACAGTAATCAATCAATTATTTAAGAGTTTTAATCAATCAATTAGTAGCTTTGGCCTGCTCCAGCGTTGGTACTGTTTGAATTACTACTTAACAAGAGGGAGACTGACTTCAGAGCATTTCTTTTTAAAGAACTTCAGAGCATCCATGCAAGTTCTCTCTTAACATCGCAATCCTGTTCACATGGTCTGTGTACGCAGGGCTTCCCTGACAGCTACCGTTTCGCGGGCAGCATCCAGTGCAAGCACAGGCAGATTGGCAACGCCGTGCCGCCTCCGCTTGCCTACGCGCTCGGGAGGAAGCTCAAGGAAGCCATCGACGGCAAGCGCTGAGCGTCTTGCCTGCTGCGCCCGTCATTTTTGGGTTGGTCCTGGTGCATGTAATCGGCACTGGACTTCCAGCATTTCTTGAGCAGAAAAGACTCTTTAACTCGATTCCGGGATGGCTACACTCGATTCTGGGGTATACAAGCTTAGAAACAGAATCATAGCATTGGTGGTATAGTATTTTGTGGGCAGTGACTATTATGTCATGTCACTGAGGGTACAATCTTTTGTTGTCGGTAACTGAAGACATTGGTGGTATAATCCTCTGTGAGCAGTCGTTTAGTAATACATTAGCTATTGGCATGAATTAAATGTGAAATTTGAATGACTTTCTAGGCATCTCTTTCAAGCAGAGATGCAGTCAGGATCTAATGTTAAAATTTTGGTGTGTCACATCGGGTGGGTGTCGTATGAGGGATTCGGATATTAATAAAAAATAAATTATAGGACCGTGGTTTGTCATAATCGTAAATTTTCAGCTCGAAACAGTATTTTTTTTTCACATAAATCAGTCAGCAGTATTTTTTTTACGATCCAGCAACGAAATGAACCAGCCAACCGAACAGATGAGAATCCATGGTATGTGTTACTGTAGCATCACATTTTTAAAGATTCGTTTTATAAATTAATCATAAATTATATAATTAGTTATTTTTTAGTCTATATTTAATATTTTATATATTTGTCTAAACATTCGACGAGACGTTGAATAAATTTTAATTTTAGTGGAGGACTAAACAAGGCCTAAGGTCGATGGATGGTTTACAGTTTTTACACTAGCGTTAGCCAGCACTGCAGTCTGCGTCTGCAGAGATGGATGACTTTCAATTTCTCTCGTAAAAAAAACAGATTCAAATCATACCCTCAAAGGCTCAAACTACACTGAATACTTAAAACCAAGTAAAATTTTCTCTTAAACTGAGCACAAAAATCGCTATACATAGAGATGCAGACTAGAAGAGGAAGTCAATAACACCTCGAAACGATAAAAACATTCCAGCACCCATGAACACCTTGCAAAATCCGAGGATGGATCAGAGCCACCAAGAATCCCCTGCCTCAAGAAGCGCAGAACACAATCAACAACCCCATCAGCTGAATGCCCGCCGTATCTTAATCATCATCTAGGGAGCGCGTAGCCGTATGCGCTATCCGTGAACGAGTTGCCGGCGACATCGAACGCGTCCCTCTCGTCGAGGTAGAAGTTGACCCTGAAGGCGGCGTGCAGGCCGATGACGGCGGCGGCGACGACGAGGGAGACGAGGAGGTTGAGCCCCGCGCGTGTGAGCGCGACGGCGAGGACCGTTGCCGCCGAGAGCACGGCCAGCACGACGCGGTCGTCGACGTCGCGGCCGAGGCACACGAGCGGCTCCCCGTCGCCGCGGCCGAAGTAGAGGCCCAGCCAGGCGACGAAGAGCGCAAGGAACACGAGCATGGAGACCGGGCGGTAGACGAGGCCGAGGAAGACGAGCACGAGCGCGGCGAGCGCGTAGTTGGCGCGGAAGTAGGCGAGGTTCCGGCGCGCCCGCGCGCGGGCCTCCCCGCAGCTCTCCGGGCGCGAGAACGCCGTCGGGTCCAGCACCTCCCGCCACGCGCGCGGCCGGCCCGCCGCGGCGCCCGCGAACGCCCACCCGCGGGAGAAGAAGGCGACCCCGGCCTCCGCCGCCGTGGCTGAGGCCGACGACGACGAGGGCGCCGCCTCGCCGCCCGCGGCGTCCTCCGGCTTGAGCGGCGGTGCCGGCGACGGCGCAGGGGGGGAGGTGGGGACGGCGCCGTAGCGCGACCACGACGCGGTGGAGGAGGACATGGTGGGGCGCTGGCGAACCGCAGCCGCCGGAGGGGGGTCGCGCTGGATCGGGCCTCGGGTTGTGGGATTGGTGCGGTGGCTTGCGCTGTTGCGCAGCTGTGTTGGGTTGGCCGCTTGTTGGCCTGGCCTGGCTTCTTCGATCGCGGGGATCTGGATGGAGAGGAAAGAGAAAGAGAAAGAGAAAGAAAGGAGGAAAGGTCTGGGGATTGATTTTGCAAAAATCGATCGCTTCCGGTTTTATTTAATCAGAAATAATATACAACATATATGTGTTTTAATAAAAAAAACACATGAATTTTTTTCTCTCCCTCCGTTCTGCTGACTTCGCGCAACGCACGCACGCGTCTGCTTGCCCGCACCGTGCCGCTGGTTGCATCTCGGACGAAGCTGTGCCCGCACCGTGCCTCCAGGTAGGTCTATCCTCCTCCTCTGCGATCCGATCTGATTTATCTTTTCATAGAAAAAAAATTTTTTTATGATTTGTGGATCTGTGATTTTGTGATTTGTGATTGTCTGGAGGTAGAAGAAAGCTGAATGCTGGAGGTAGAAGGAGGGTGGAGGTTGTTGAATCTTAATTATATGGTGCAAAAAAAATTCATGTGTTAAAACTGTATAAAACATATGATTATTGGGTAGATAGACTCTATTTAATACCATATTGAAACTGTATAAAATATATGGTTGTTGGGTAGACAGACTTTATTTAATACCGTTTTTTTCGAGATACTAATAAAGCGACTCGCTGCAGCGTCGGCATATGGATTCCGCAGAATAAATAGATCTGCTAAAACGAAAATGGATTTGCATCTACTGACATGAGTGGCACAACCATCTCCCAAGTGCAAATGATCATGGGTGTGCCATATGGATACATTAGTGTTTTTTTTTTAAGAAACACTGTCCTTGCTGGACAGTTATTGGGCTCTCTTTCGCAAAGTTCAGGTGTTTGCAGGAATTAGTGAAGATTTAATCCCTAAAGAAGAGTTTTGATATAAAACACAACAACCGTTCCAAGTTCCTCGCTACGACGAATCATTGGTCCAAAACCGCCGGCCTTCACATCGCCTCTCTCCCCTCGCGTGCGTGTATGCCTATCGCCGCGGCTCCCTAAACAGTAGCCATCAGTGTCGTGTCATGCAACGCAGCATGTGTCGACTCCGAACACGGGGAAACAGCCACCAGGCGTGAAGCCGTTTTCCCGGCCGCGCCTAGCTTGTCGGCACGCTCCGTCCGGCTCGTGTCGTGCCGGTGCCGCCGGATCGGATCGTGTGCCGCGGGGGCGGGGCGATCGTGAAGTGGGCAGCGAGGACATGGCACGTGCCTGCAAGCCCAAAGCAGCATGGAAAGGAAAAAGGAATCGGGATCGAAATGCCAAGGTGGAATATCCGGGGAAAAACAGACGGGAGAGCAGATCCAAAACCCGCCGAAAAATGCACACCACGGCAATAATTTCGGCCGGGGAATATCCTGGACTTCTCTCAGTCTCTTTTTTTCTCTCTCTCTCTCAAACAAGGCCAGTTCGGACTTCGAGATCAAAATCAAGTAATCAACAGCTTGAGTAGGCAATCGGGGACGTCGATAGATCAAGACTTCAGGCAAGTCAGACCAGACAGCTTTGCCTTCGCCTTGCATGCAAGAAGGCCCATTGTTCTTTCGCGATGGGCCTGCTTTTAATGCGCGTGGATGGACCAAGGCCCAATGGGCCAGAACTTCTCCAAAAGACATGCACGGTTTATGACACCCTCTCCCAGGGTTAACCAAAGAAATCAAATTACACAACGAACCACTGGTCAGCGGGGAAGAAACTTTTAATTTTAATAACCCTCTTCACTGGTTGCTACGTGTTATTAAGTAAAAACTCATTAGTTTCCTCAATAATCATCAAATCAGACAACTTCTTCACCAATTCTTCTGCCTCGATTTAGTTATATATAGCCGCTCGCTGTGTGTGAGGAAAGTTGTTAGTTGGTCAGTGGATAGAGTTGCTAGTTGGCTCGTGTTCGACCAGAATAGCTTGGTGTTACGTGCCTAAGTGTGAAGTGAGGTTTAAATTTGTTAGTTCGTCGATCGTTGCATTGAAGTTATAAAAAATAGGTGAGCATCCTGTTTTTGAGTGTGGTTACCACTCAATATTTTTTATTTTCTTTTTTCTAACAAAGCTCATGGCAAAGTTTTTATTGTCTTTTCAAAGAAAAAACGCTTGCCTCACGCGAAAAGTGAAGGGTCCTTGGTGCCACGCGGCTACGACGAATTGACGATCACCCATCGAAATGGGCTGGCGTTCTCTCCGGTGGCGGTGGTACTTAGATGCTCGCATGCAGATGATGGGCAGCAGGGATGACCGAATGAATGCATGCCCCGGGCAAAAGTTGGTAACGCTTGATTAGTGCACAAGCAGTTGACCAAGTGCAAAATGCATGGCAGTAACAACTAATTGGCCGCTGACGTGCTACAAATTCTGACTTCCGAGATGGAGACGGGGAGTAGACACTAGACAAGATCGAGACCGAGAGGCACGGGCTCCACTGGTGCTGCCCACATAAATACCAGTTACTGATCAACCACAACTTTGATCATTCACAAGTAGTAGAGGTTGTCTACTGGACATGGAGGAGTAGAGGTTGTGGGGTCGAGAGAGAAAGGCTTAGCAGTCATGGAATGCAGGGGCGCGGAGGAGAGAAAGGGGGAAGAGCATAGCAAAGGCAATGGATGGACGACATCTAGTACGGAGATGCTACACGAGTCACTAGATCCAAGCTTGTAAGCATGCAGCGGAGGAATGGAGAAGGGAAGGGTGGGGAGATATACCATCATGACCTTGCTTCTCTTGGGACAGTCCATGGCGACAAGGTGCAGCGCATGAGAGAGAGTGGGGGGGGGAGAGACAAGGGATAGCAATTGGTAAACAGTAAAGATGTAGAGAAATGGCAATGAAGAACATGTGAAAGAGGTTGTGCCATGTAATAGATAGGTAAATCTATCATAACATCATTTGATATTCGAGACTCCGTTCGAATATCCGACTGCTAGCGTTAGTGCATTACCGAAAGTGACAATATGGAGTGTGTGTCCTTTCTAAAGTAGAGTACTAGCTCTGTCGGGTTCATAAACCCGGGATCCCTCATGGACCAGCTTCCCAGTAAAGGCTCGACCCAGTAGATGGCGCGCAAACTCCTGGGCCGGCCCAAATACCGAAACGACAGGCCAGAAGGGCGATCCAATCTCCAACTGGAAGGCCTCGCTAAAAAGGATCAGCGCTCGCTTCTGACTCCGGCCTGCCTCTCCAACCAGAAGGCCTAGCCAAAGAGGAACAGCGCTCGCTTCCGACTTCGGCCCGCCTCTCGGACCGGAAGGCCTGGCCAAACACCGTCTCCAAATTTCGACCCGCGTCTCCAACCGGGGATGCACCGAACCCCTGCTTACAGCTTTTCTACGACTGGCGCAATCAGAGCCGACTGGGAGAAAGTAAGGCAGGGAACCGCAATACCGATGACCGTACCCTGCACTCCTACAGGACAGTAACCGACATGACATGTTAGAAGGGTGCCCTGCAACCTTCCAGGCATGACAGAACCCAAGCAGTGTTGTGGGCGCCGACATTTGCCCTATAGTGTTGTGGGCGTCATCAACTCTCTTTCTATCGCTTGTATGGCTGTCCCGTTCATCTATAAAAGGGGATGCGCTCTCTCCCAACAGATAGATCCCTCAGTTCACTTACATCAATTCATCCTCTGTAGCTTTAGACACTCTAAAGCTACACAGAGCACACGCTCAAACACTTAGCACAAAGCGGAGCTCCCGTCACTCTCGGCCCTTTAGACCAGAGTCCGACCGTACCTCTTGTACCCCCATCTTTCTCCCTTCTATTTGTAACCCCACAGCAAACTTCGAGCATTTGGGCTCAGGAATAAAGTCACCGACCGACTCAAACTGGACGTAGGGCATGTTGCCTGAACCAGTATAAACTCTGTGTCATTGAGTGCTAGGCCACCTCCGATCACAACGTACAGCAAAACTACAAATATTTACGTGTTGGTCACTTTCTGCACCGACAGTTGGCGCCGTCCGTGGGGAAGACGTTGTACGTTCACACTTTTGGTCATCAGATGACCCACTTTTCCGCCACCTTCGCCATGGCGGGCTCGAGCGATACGACTCGCTTCGGCTCGCTGGAGTTTCCCGCACTCCCACCTGTTGGGATGTGGGTTCCACCCATCTTCGAGCCATCCCAGGCCTTCCTCTTTGGAAGCCTGGACTTCATCGCCGATCGGCTCGGCGTACTACACCTCCGCGAGGAGGCACTTGTTCCGACGCCCGTCGGAGGGGCGCCCTCCATCGGCCCCGGAACACACGATGACTTCAACGACGAGGCGCCTGCGCTTCATTCCGAGCAAACGCTCTGCTCAAACCCCGCTGTGGGTAATGTATATGCTGTTATTTACTCGCTATTTACTATCTTCCGCCAATTATTCGGAGGCACCGTGTTGTCCGCACCGCAACCACCGTACGACCGGTTCCCCTACGGCCTCGCGTCCCCCGCGGACGCGTGTGCTTGGGGGCTCCAAAGGATGCTGGCGCCCCCCCCTCTCACATCCGAATTCATGGGGATGGCGAGCTATGCTCCCACCTGATTCTACGAACTCGTGGATAACGAGGTTGAGAGCGATGGCTCCAGCATCGGCGACGTGGCACCTAGCCATCGTCTATCCTGGGAGTGCGCTATGGCGGACGCTCCGGGACAGCTGTCGGTGGTAGCGGAGTCCTTGCAGACTCACACCCCTCCGTACCCTTGTGCAGGGGCCCTCGCGCTCGCACAAGAGCACGCCGAGGAGCTACGATAACGGCGGCAGAACAAGCCGCCACCTGCGCCGACGCGCTCGGTGCAGCACGTTGCGCCCCATGCGCGTAACCCGGTGGAAAGCTCCGCATCATGACTCCGACTCGTGGCCTCTCTCCCCACCAGGGGAGTGGGGACGCACCAGATGGATCGCTCCATCCGC